AGTTTATTCTCATTGTTTAATACTGTACATAATATTGATAGTGACAACTTATTGATTTGGTTAACCAGATAAAAAAACATGACATAAATAATTCTAAGCATATTTTAAAAAAATGATTGAGTTCTTTTAAAACAAAATTATAAAAATAATAGTATAATTTTAGTAGAACTATAATAACGTGGAGTTTCAAAATAATTAAGACCACAATTTTATTATGCTTTAAGCCACAAATATATATGAGCCATTATTGTTTCCTTGGATTTATTTTTTGTTACAGTGCAGTAGTGAAAATTAAAAGAGTTTGGCATGTTAATGTACCAATAACATGTGTTGTACCATTGCGCTATGCTCCGCCACAGTCACGCTCTCGGTACTTAGAACCACTTACGGGGCACTATGTTTTGAAGGTATAAGCATCCGTTATATGCTTAAGTTTTTTCTGACAGAATCGATTCAGAAAATACTTACTCATAGTCTAATTGCTGGCTTGTTATAGTGTCTTTGTCAAAGTTGAAGTCGGTCCCGTGTAGCATTTAAAAATATATAAGAGAGCTGAAAAAGGTGGGCACAGAAGTTGGAGATCATATGAGAATTATACCAAAAGTAGATATATGCAGCAGTAGAATTTGGAGATTCATTATAACACATTTGGTTAGCAGCCAAAATATAGCTAAGCAGATATTACCTCCTAAAAGTTTTGGGCTTGTATTTGCTAACTCCTTAGTTGTTGGTGACTGCAGAACCAGAATATCCTATTGGCATGGGATGAACACTAACAGTTATTCAAACAATGTTAGTCGTTTCGGTGAAGTGGATGGCGACTCTGGAGTCGTAAACTTGAAATGGTGGTTGGTGCTCCAGCACTGAACTCGCTAAACTTGTTTTATTGTGTATTTTAACACTGATGGGCCTAAAACTCTGCAACCTGAGCACACACACAATAAATTGTTGTATCTATCAAGGAAAGATAAGATGATTGATGTAACGAAATGACGTTAGCAAACCAAACCAATCATTGAGGGTATATTTCAGTCTAGCGCTTAGATTCTCATTGACTTCCTTGTCAATCTCATCCGGGAAAAGTATGTCACCAATTTAACAATCTAAAAATGGACGAAACAATCAATACCTGAAGATTTGTTTTGTGAGATCAGCTTCTGTTTGGAACGATTTTCTGCTGCAGTTCCCTATATAAGAAAAAAAAGATCCTGAGTCAAAACTACTAAATCTATCAAATAACCTAGCAGGCTATGTTTCAGTTTTTAGTCTAATAATTTCATACCAAATATAAGGAAAACAAAGAAACAATATTTGCTAGCTCAAGCTATAATTCACTTTACCAAAAACAAATGATGAAGTACACAAATACGATCGTATACCAGATGCAGCTTATGATTTTCTCTTGTCTCAGTGATGTGAGGCATCTACCGGTGTTGAATCTCGCCATCGCTAGAACCTCATAGGCGGTGCTGATACACCGGTCAGCTTCCATTCACAAGCATGATGGAATATTGTGCCATTGTTGAGTTGGTGAGTAGCAGGGATGGTGTTTTCAGATTTTGTATACGGAATTTGGTTCATCGTAGTGAGCAAACACATTTATAGGTGAAGATTCCAACAGTTACCTAGGAATATGATAAGGTTGATTAAAAGCTCGAGGGTGGGAAGAATGGTATAAGAGACGTAATTGCTCGGGTTAAAGCAAAATAGTTATCAGTAGGAGACGGCACAGAGCGTAGGGCGTAATCGGCATAATCTGTAGGTTGAAGACGGCGATGCTCTGTAAGCCGAGCATGGAGGCTGTTGAAATTCTAAATACATATGGGCTTAAACATTTAAAAACATTACGTAAGATCCAGCAGAAGGCCCATACGTTTGCCAAAAAACTTTCGTAGAAAAAGGTAAAGCAAAGCCACGTGGCTTTTTCCCCCCAAAGAGAGAAAAAGTGAACTTTATTATTAAAGATCATTAAAACAGAATTTAACCAGTACAAAATGTGTTAAAAGATGAACTAAACCATTTCAATTTTAATACTTTAAATAAATGTGAAATGAATTAAATAAACTGATTTTTTATTTACATATCATTTTAATATAATTAGAAAATACCAAAAACAGAACATATTATATATAGTAATATATGTAATTTCATAAGATAGAAAAGATTTACTAGTATAATAAAATCAAGAACGTCATCTCCAATCATGTAATTCTCATTCAAATTTATAAAAATCGTGTAGTGCATGTAAGAATTTTTATCCTATCCACAAATTTACTACATTTAAGACATAACTTGAATAAATGGGTACATATATAAAAAAATTAAAATCCATTAACCATATAAAAAAAATAAGTTTTTTTTTTTGTAAAAGGGCTTTCAATAAAAAAAAATAAGGAACAAGATATCATTTTCTTCAATATCATTTTCTTTAAATTTAGTTTGTAGTCTAGTGGTAGTATTAAAGTATCCACATTATAATCAGTGCTGGGATCAAGTATATAAGTATCTACTATCTCAGTTTTAATAAAACATAATAGCTTTATTGGTACCAGCTTTTTAACCAACTCCTCAAGAAATCACTCCCTCTTTTACGTCAAGCAGTGGGTTTGATGAACGACTTAGCTCTTTTGGCTAATCGGTGCCTATAGTGTCTCATCTGCTCATGTTCGAGGCCCACTTCTGTTCTTCTATTCTTCAATTATTAAATAACACTTTAAATTCCTCACAAATATTTAATCAAACAAAAAGAAAGTGAAACACACAGACCTCTAGCTTTTGCTCTCAAAACCTAATCGACGTCTTCTTCTCTAATTGGCGAATCCGCAACGGCGGAGACGTCGCTGGCTTCTCCGGTCTAATAGCTGAACCAACTCCTTAAGAAATCACTCTCTCCTTTACGTCAAGCAATGGATTTACCAAAAATTCCTCCCCTTTGAAAGAGAGATTCGCCATTTCCCTGCAACAACAGCCACGGGTTTACTGCTCCTTCGTCAACCGCAGCTTTTCCGACGCCTCACTGCGACCAAAACCTCGCCATGTACTAAAAACGAGTGAACCTCTCGACGCTCACTGATGTTTCTCACCAAACTGCAGAGACGATGGAACAAGCCCTAACACCATTCGAAGCTTCTATGGGTGCGTGGTCAAATCCACTTATCTAAAATTTCTCTCCTCCGTGTACACCACCTGAACCATCCACGCCTCAGAGCTATGATCCCCAGTTGGTGCAGAACCAGATCGAAAAATTTTAGCCTTCGCTAGAGGAAGGTACAAACTTTAAACAGAAGAAGTCTTTGTTGAGAGGAGTTCCTCCTTCATTACCGAATCTCCCAGTTACAAAGTTGCCGCCCCCGGAACTCAAGGAATATGGCTTGCTCCGTTTTCCATGGGCTGCAAGGATGAACCTGGCTACGAGAAATTTGTATCGAGCTTCCAGACCAACTTTCAGACTTGATGGCACTCCTGAGATCATCATCCCAACTAAGGTACTTCAAATTGGTTCTGAGAACATAGGAGAATATGTAATTGGGCAATTTCATTGCTGTTTTGTTCCCTTGGGTGGTCTTATGCATGCTGTTGTAAACGTTTGTGGGGTAGAAGCTGCAAAATTGTTAGTCAGAAACTAGGAGAATCATCTTACTTTTTCCATGTTCCACATAGAGAGACAAGACACTGGATTATTTAGTGAAGTGTTTGGCATGTAGACGATTGCTTAATGTTTGTGGCTCCTTGGAATCCAGTAGGCACATTGAAAATCCATGAAATTTCCACTGTGCCAGCTTGGGTGACTTTAAAGAATATCCCAACCAGTTGTTATTCTAGGCTTGGAATTTCTCACATTGCTTCTGGCCTAGGCGAGCCCACGATCACTCACAAACCAAGGTTGGATCATTTAACCATAGGAGAGGCTAAGATTTTGGTAGAAATAGAGCTTGACAATAACTTCCCCACACAGATCGCATTGGATGACAAGTTAGGTAATATCTTTTTGGTTGATGTGGTATACTCTTGGATTCCATCAACCTGTGAAAACTGTAGGAGCCTGGGTCATAAAGCAAAAACATGTCTACTTAAGGAAGACAAGAATGACTCCACAAATAGAAATAAATCAGATCAAGAAGATGTAGAGATTCATGTGATTGATATCAACTCTTTGTTGGAAAACAATGTTGTTCCTGAGAAAGCATCAGAGATCAACAAGGCTGTGAATGTGTTGCCGCATCTGCCTCAACATTCTCTTACCCAATTTGAAATGACAGAAACTTCTTCAACATCTACAGATTCATTGTCTCTTCAGGTATCTCCTTCTTATAAGGATAGCTCCACTGCTTTAGCTTCTCAAAGATCATCTTCAATTGCCAAGTTAACTCCAGTCTCTACACTAGCAGGTTCATTATCTGCTCCCACTAATCCCCAAGTTATGGACGATGTTTCATCTGATATTATCATGAATGAGGGTATTACACTCTCAGGAAATGATCCTTTAATCATGACCTTTTTTTACAACTAAGTCTGATTTACATATTAGTGAGAAAATGGATGAATTTGGAAGTATATCAAGAGGGGATAGGCTGATCAAGCCTACACAAAAATACCAAAAAATGGAATGGTCGATAGCTCATGGAAAAGGAAAACGAAGCCGTAAAAGTGGAAGTTCCTAATCAAGCACTCAAAAGTCTTCTATGTTTGTTTGGCAAAACTAAAGAGTTGTACAAAGCTTGTCTTTTTATAGCTTTTTCATTGCTCACATTATGTCTAACTTTTTCAAACTATGAGATCTAACAAATCACAAAAAAAAAATAACTTACTAAAAAATAATTTATAGATAGCAAATATAAAAAGGATAAAAATCTAGTTTTTAAAATAAAAACTTTTTCCAGGGTTTACTACTTTCATTATATAATTCAGGGGGTTAAAAGGTAATACCTATTGTTAGTGGACCAAATTAGAAATTAGAAGAAAAGAAATCATCGGCGGCATTAGGTTTGTTCCCTAAAACCCTAAAAACAAACTCAATCTGAGGAAAAGAAAAACAGAGAGAGCTTCCTTGTCCTAAACCAAAAGATGCGGCCTTTAGACGAGAACGAGACGACCGTCGTCTTCGAAAAGATCTTCAAATTTGTGGGCAACAACCTCAAGAACATCGTGGAGAACCCATCTCACGAAGGACCCGAGCCAGAGCCAGGCCGCTACTGCTTCCGCCTCCAGAAGAACAGAGTCTACTACGTCAGCGAGTCTCTCGTGAAGCGAGCCACGAACATCTCCCGTAAAAACCTCGTCTCCCTCGGAACCTGCATCGGGAAGTACACTCACGCCGGGAGCTTCCACCTGACGATCATGTCGCTCAATCTCTTGGCGGCGAATGCGAAGCACAAGGTATGGCTGAAACCCACCTCGGAGATGTCGTTTCTGTACGGGAACCATGTGTTGAAAGGAGGGTTAGGGAGGATTACTGATAGTATTGTGCCTGGAGATGGAGTTGTTGTCTTCTCCATGTCTGATGTTCCCTTGGGGTTTGGGATTGCGGCCAAGAGTACGCAGGATTGTCGGAAGTTGGATCCGAATGGTATCGTTGTGCTTCATCAGGCTGATATTGGTGAGTACCTGAGAGATGAAGACGAACTTTGAAAAAATAAAATGGCTTTCTCTTTTGATTATGCTTCTTGTTGTTTTAAGTTTTGTTTTAGGTTTAAGATATGTAACTTGGTGTTGGATCTTTGAAACTCACGATTTTTATTTATGTGTTTGAAATGTTATGAGTATCCTGTAAACTGGCAAGTGTTGGAAACAGCTTCATTTGCTTTGGATTTTATAGCCCAAATATGGTTCAAAATGTTATCATGAAGCACCGAACTTTTTCAATTAACTTGCTTCTTGAACAACAAGATTGCATCACAGTTCCATGGACAATCCTGCTAGATGTTTTTGACCTTTAAATAAACATATTCTAGTCACTGAAAAGTCCCACATTAAGAGTTTCCATCTTCTAAACTCAAATACAGACTAAGGAAGCTGTTAGAAATCGTTATATTTTCACTTCTTAATCCTCTGAATCTGAAGAGTCAACGGATCCTATTTTTTCTCCAGTATGAAACTATTTTTCCTAAATATAAGTAATTTGATACATCACATTAACAAGCCCGTCTAGCTCAGTTGGTAGAGCGCAAGGCTCTTAACCTTGTGGTCGTGGGTTCGAGCCCCACGGTGGGCGCATTTTTTGTCTCTTTATCCTTTTGTTTTTTCCCTGATTTTGAAGCACATATCTTCTGGGTGACTACGAGAAGAACAACTTGTCATGTTAAACAACAGAATATTCGAGTGGTCCTTAAAACATAAAAGTTTTAAAATCTTACAACAACCAAAGTCAGAACCTTATAAATATATAATGGTACCGTTTTCTCCCTCTCTGTTAATCTCTCTTTCTTTTCCCTCCTCTACCGGAGACTTTTGTCTCACTTTTGTCTCTATCGCCAAAGGCTTTTAACTTCACACTCTGAGTGGTTAGTTGTGTCTTCAATCTGTGCAATCCAACCCGTGACAAACCGAAAGCCAGATAATGAGCACAAGTAGTAGCACTATCCCGAGAACAGCGAGTTTAATCTTCATGTTCTGGTACCACAGTTTCCTCCTCACCTGTGTCCCTTGTTTCTTGTACTCCTGCGCCTGAAAGGTTTCATACAAACATAGGCTAAATTGGCTGTTCCATAGAGTATTGCTATAAACAAAAGTCTAGAAATTTTGTTTCCAGGGTCAAGTTTGCCTTTTACCTGAGAGCGTAGATTCTCGGTCTTGTCACTAAGAACCGTTAGATTTTCCCCTCTGTCGATTGCCTGAGAACATGTAACTTGTTATGCATAGTGCTTTGTCTTTTGCTTTAAGGGACGTAGTGAAATATACTAGTAATTGCTTTTTTGAGCCTCCAAAAGTAAAAAAAAAAAAAGCGAAGGAGAATGATTGGTTGTCTAAAGCGTGCAGAAAGACATATGCAAATAGAAATTAACCTTGTCAATATTCTCCAACATTATGCTTTTAACTTCTGAAACTTGAGCCTTGACTTTTATTAGCTTTTCAATCTCCTCTGCATGGTTAACAATATACCTCATGTGTTCTTTCATCACAGGCCTGCAATTCTCGAATTAAATCTCTCATATATGCATTCATTAGAGTCCCCAAAAGATTTTAAGGTAGTATAGGTAAGTACCCGAACTCCTTGTTCAGGCTCTTGGCGATAGCAGTGCTTGCTTTCCCACCTCCATACCTTTTCTTGAAATCAGCTTTCACACGCTCCAGAAATGCGATTGATATTTGCTTGCTAAGTTCATCTTTTGCCACAACACAATATGCTGAAAACGTAAAACAAATGAAACAGATCATTTTCAAAGGAGGGTTTCTAATTCTATACATGAAATATGATTTTTGAAAACGCATTAATCAGCTTCTGTATCCTTGTACTACAGAGCAAAGGAGTTCTTAATAATAGCAAATGATTAATGGCTAGATAGAGAAGTAACAAACAAGTACATTCTACTACTTGAATAATAAAGCTAAATATAAAAAAAAAAAAGACTGGTCTAAGAACACCTTTAGACTAGTATAATGCGCTAAATAGGGAGATTCCAATTCAGGGAACAACAATGATCCGCCAAAGATTAAAACTCTTATATAGAGTGGAGCCTACTACACACGGATCAAATTTAGACGCATGAACAGTTTCCTCACTAGTTCCTTTCAGAAGAGTGGCACTGACAGCAGTGGCTTACAACAAGTAAGGCTCTACTTGAATGATATGCTAGAAAATTAGGAAACTTTTAAAAACATATTCCAAATCGGGGACAACAGTATTCAGACAAACTCTACCTCAAACATGCCAAAGATGGAAACTTTATAATATACAGTATAGGAGAACTACAATCACCTCTGGTCCATGTTCAATGATCTAATCTAATACTCTTTAAGTTAATAGGAACACACAATGTGTGTACTGAATCTTCAAGAAAAACAGAGTAACTTTAGTTCAAACCACTGTTGAATTATGTCTAATAAGGCGAATCCTAATCTACGACATGTCCTAAGAGATTCAAATGAGCTAGATCCCCATGACATCTTACCGAAGCCATCTTCAACGAGGAAGTTGAAAGTATGGTGATCGCAGTTGTAAGTGAACTTGCTGTTGCTTGAGGAAGGAAGCTTCTGGAGACACTGTGCAGCTATCGACGGGAAGTTACCAGTGAACTCGGTGTACTCGGCCAGAACCATAGTGCCTCTGGCTACGAAGCTGTAGATAAACGATTGCTGTCCCATTGAATCGCCACCAAGTTGGCTCAGAAATAGAGAGGGAGAGAGAGTTTTGTGATCTATTAGCTTTCCCGTGTCTCGACTCACTATAACTTTACTCCATTAATTCGACCAAAAAACGCACCACCTTTGCACAAATTACCAAAAAAAAAAAAAGAGCGTGACCAAAAAAACAGGTACTGACCACACAACGAACTGTAGACAGTGTTAAATGTTGTTTACATTTTACATGATTTGAAAATAAAAAATCAATAGCACCCAGATGATAAGGTCGTTGATGTTCAAGATGGGCCAGTGGAGCTTAGGGCCTTTTACGTTATTTATCTGGTCATTGTTGGTGTCAAAATCGGTCACAACGGAATCAATGACAAAAAGTCTCCGCAAAAATATAAAAGAAATCGTTTTATAAAATTCAAAGAAATCGTTTTATAAAACTCGAAGAATCGTTTTATAAAACTCGAAAAATCGTTTTATAAAACTCGAAGAATCGTTTTACAAAACCGCAAAAAACCGAAACCGCCGTAAAACGCGAACTAAGCCAAGCCGGCTTAGTTCGCAGGTGGGCGATCTACCCTCGTCCCGGCTAGTTCGCCCAACGGCGAACTAAGAGGTGCTGACTTTGCCCCACAGGTTCTCATCGCCCAGTTCGCCATATGGCGACCTAGCCAAGCTGAACTAGCTCGCCGTACGTCGAGCCGACCATCCCGAGCCTCGATCTCATACATCCTTGATTCAAGGCATACGTCCTTCGACACGATCGTATTCCGAATCACGGTCGAAATGTCTCCCGTTTCGTCTCGATCCGTCCTATAATTCGAGTTTTACGATAAAAACCGTAAAACTTTGTTTTCTCGAAAAGAACTCGAGGAAATCGTATAAAACGGCAACGGTTAAACGAAACACCGAATATTGCCTAAACTATACGATTTATTCGAGATTTTTCGTAAAAATCGTACAAAACGCGTTTTTAATAAAACCCCGAGTAAATCGTAGAAAACGGCAACGATTAATCGAAACATCGAACATTGCTTAGCTTTATGATTAACTCGAGAAACTTATCTAAAAACGGCATCGTATCAGGAAACGATCTCGTCTAAAGTCGTAAAACGGATTTATCGCAAAACGGCTCTGAAAGTCATAAAACGCGATAAAAGCCACTCGCGACTTTTAACGAAGTCCAACCCGAAGATACGAAGACGTTTTGGCGATTTACTCGCATAAAGAAGATAAATGTCAAACTTGAAGATAAATGTCAAGTTTGAGGATAAATAGAAGATTTCCGCGGGAAAATAAGAAAGATCGAAATAAATGGAAGATTCCCATTAAACTCGAATCTGGGCGAAATGGAAAGACTAAACCGCCTAGGAAGGGAGTATATAAGCAAGAGGCATAGGGCAGAAGCAAAGCGACGGAATCTAGAGCTCTCATCTGAGACTTTCACAACTTTTCTAGACTTAGAATTTTCCGCACTTAGAAACTTAGGCTTTTTCTCGACAAGTTTGGTTTCTATGACTGGCGCTCAATCACTAGACGAACTCGCCCAGGCAGTTCGATCTCTTGTCCAGCTCAATCAACTGAACTACGTTCGACTTGATCCTCGAAAGGGGTACGTAGGCAGCCTTTCATAAGGTTCAGTCTGAAATCATTCAAATCATTTTTCTTATCTTTTTCCGTCTTTTGTTATCGAGCTGCGACTCGATTAGGTTTAAGGTTTTTATGTTGATAACTCGCTGACGGCCCTGCGGCCAAAGCCTTTGTAAACCCTTGTAACGATCGCAATGCTTTTACGCGAAATCGAAATAAGATCTACTTTTTCTTTAAATTAATTTTATTACGTTTTTCGTATTTTTCCGCATTTATTTGGTTACTTGTCGTTGGCTTTCGCAGAGATCTGGTTCCTCTGGAAAATTAGGGTTTTCCTAAGTTTCCTTATTTAACGGAAATCGACAAGTGTGAATCCTAGGTTACTCGCGGAAAAACCCTAGGCTGTTCGCGGAAAAAATCCTTAGGTAACTCGCGGAAAAACCGTAGGTTATTCACGGCAAAACCCTATGTTATTCGCGGAAAAACCCTAGTTTATTCGCGACAAAACCCTAGGTGGCTCACGGAAGAACCTTAGGCTACTCACAGAATCGGACAATACTATCCAGCCGAAAAGACGGTGAGTTAGCCAAGCAACCTAGCTTGCCATCTTGGCGAGCTGACCGGCCTTCCACCTCGTCCTAGAGGCACTGAATTTTCCCCGAGGGTCCGCACAATCCAACTCATAGCTATGGTGAGTCAGACCATACTCTAAACAATAATCACACTGCTTTTCATTTCGTGTCAATCAAAGTTTTCGTTGAGATTTTACTACGAAAACAAGATAGCTTGATAAATCAGAACTGTGCTCGCCAACTCACCATTACGAAAATTGGACAAGCTCGACGGATTGAAACATCGCCATCTCGAATCTTGATCGAGACGCTTTTCGTTTCGTCTCAATCGGACTTTCCGTTGAGATTCTACGACGAAAAAGAGTCAACTCGACGAATCGAGATTACCCGCGCCAAGCGTCTTAGCTCGCCGAACGTAGAGCTAGCTAGCTTGCCATACGGCAAGCTGAACCAAGCGCCTAGCTCGCCCAAGAGACGCTGACTTCGCCCCAAGGGTTCTTACCATCCAGATCGCCACACGGCGAGCTGAAAGGGTTCACCCGACTTGCCCTACGCCGAGCTGAACCAATCCTCGAGCTGATCACAACGAACTCGCAACAGTCCTAAACAAACTTAAGTTATCTCACAGAGATAGCTCTCGAACACCCAACACAAGGGTAATAGCGCTATAAAAGAAATCCAAACTTTTGGTCAGCACTTCCGGGCAACTTAGATATTGTTCCCGGTGAGATGCTCGGTTCCAACCAGACGAATCGTATAAGCCGAGAACCTATCGCGGATTCTAAATCGGTATGGAATCAGGTTAAAATCTCAACAGGCAAAACGAAAGCCGACTAGTCATCGCATAGCCTCAATCCGAAAGTAAACCTAGGTCTTGCCCTAAACCCAGCACACTGGTCGCTAACGTCTCAAGGCATGAATCGAGATCCTAAAGGCATGTCTCTTCGTCTATATCTAAACGCTCACTCGATTTACTAAACATCCTAAAACGAGCAAACGAACAAGGCGAT